CAAACCCCATTGCTGACAGGTTCAAATAAAGCTATCGTCAGCAAAGCTATGAATTTTTTGCCGTCCTTACTTCAATGGACCATATATTGGAGCTAGTCGCTGGCACACCAAGTTTTTTGTAGAGAAACATGTACGTCTATTAAGCATCTACCTAGGAGATTGTAATGTACGGGAAAGGTCTTAAGAAACCTGCGAACAAATCGGCTCCCTTGACCACAACCAAAAGCCTTTGTTTCCTCCGATTTATCATTGACGGAGACCGTGTGTGCTTGAGCCTCGAATTCAACGACTGACTCGTTCGCACGCTTACATTTGTCGTGCCCTCTCGCTGGGCCGTGCCTCACACATACCAGTACACCACAGGATTTTTGCTTGGCTAATTTATTAGATTTGATTTAATATTTTTGCTTGGTATTTTTTTAGCAAGGATTTATTTTTTATGAAATGGCTACACTTTTAATACTTGGTGTAACCGTTTTGTTTTGAAAAAACATTTTTGGTGTTATTTGATATCTTTTTGAAAGTAAGAACATCATGAAAAAATTAAACAAACTCATTCTACATATATCTCAGTGATGATTAAAAAAGTTAATTCACAGTAAACAATAAAAATAAAGATGAGTAGACACTACTAAATGTATAACAAGAGACATAGATTGCGGCAAAAATTTTACAAAATACTTCGTCTAATATTTGAAACAGCTGACAACAACAAAATTATTCGAAATTAGCAGGAGGTGAAATACAATTTATATCCTTGTTTCAAGCAGATTGATTTTTGCGTTCAGTGATTTTCAATAACTTATACTTTTTTCCTGGCGTTGAGTATAACAGCCAAACCCCATTGCTGACAGGTTCAAATAAAGCTATCGTCAGCAAAGCTATGAATTTTTTCCACACATCGAATAGATTAAAAGAAATTTACATCTTTGATTTACATTGAAGACTACATGTGTTCAATGGCTCGTTGCGCATGCGCGTCTCGAATCGTTATGCCTGTGTCGTGTCGAAGCTCATACGTATATGCGAGGGGACAAATTTTTTAAGATTGTGTGACAGGGGACAAATTGAGTAAAATTTTTCGACTGATATTGCTAAAATGCCAGATATCAGCATTGCGGGAACCGATTTTATTGGGCAAAGGCTCATTGTAAAGAAAAAAAAAGAAAAAATATTGGACCTGACACATTTTTCGCCCACGACATATACCCGCAGATAATTCAAGTTATTTCATCGTAGCAGACGAAAAAGCGCCAACTTCGAATAGATTAAAAGAAATTTACATCTTTGATTTACATTGAAGACTACATGTGTTCAATGGCTCGTTGCGCATGCGCGTCTCGAATCGTTATGCCTGTGTCGTGTCGAAGCTCATACGTATATGCGAGGGGACAAATTTTTTAAGATTGTGTGACAGGGGACAAATTGAGTAAAATTTTTCGACTGATATTGCTAAAATGCCAGATATCAGCATTGCGGGAACCGATTTTATTGGGCAAAGGCTCATTGTAAAGAAAAAAAAAGAAAAAATATTGGACCTGACACATTTTTCGCCCACGACATATACCCGCAGATAATTCAAGTTATTTCATCGTAGCAGACGAAAAAGCGCCAACTTGGCGTCAATAAGAATAGCGGTAGCGTCTCGTGAGGAGGCCGATTTTTTCTTTTAATACTTGGCGTCGAGACGCTACCGCGTCTCTTGATCGTCGGTCTCAATTGTACGTTCTTTATGTCCAAATCGATCAAGTAATATAAGTAGTATAAGTTTGGGAGTTCTGGATATAGATTCCTGCACCGACATAATACCGACACTCCAGAACCTTCGAAGGTGGGTGTCCATGCTAAGTTGCCGTCGTGAGCTCTACGATTTCCGGAAGTGACGTCACCGAAACCCTCGATTCCAAGAATTTTTGCACGATTCCGGGAATTTTGCGTCACATTCCGCGAATTTAGCGCTCGATTCTAGGAACTACACACGATCGAGAACCTTCTAGAACATTC